AACGATGCGGGACTATAATAATTTAAACATTCATTCATCCCAAGCACTCACACAGACACGCACTCATTCAGACACAACAACAAATACGAAAACACTCACCAGAGAACTGACATCACTGACCACCTAACGAGGGAGGGAATGGAGTGTTAAAGGAAAAATAGGGACAGAAATAAAAGGAGCCAATGAGCAAACACACCCTAGCTAAGTTAACTTGAAAAAAAAAGAAGCTAAATATTCAAGAACAAACCTAAACTAACCTAAATTCGGGATGGGTTTCTCAAGTTCAACCCAGGAAGAACAAAATCCCTGGAACGAGATAATACGAAAGGCTCCGATCTTATCCCATTCAATTCCACTAGTGCACCTGGAGTCGCATACAAAAGTCGGATCCAGGAGCGAAAGTCCGGCCCGAAACCAGCCGCCGAAAGGTCATCAGGACTGAGATGGGCATAGATTCCATGGGAGAGGCCGTCGGTGTCCTAACCCCGGGCATGTTCAAGATCCCATCTGCTGTGACCAGATGTGCGTATCGCTTGGCATTCTCCAGGAACTCCGTTATATTGATTTTACATTTTGGTGGGGACGTCAGCAAGAGGGCGTCTCTCCGACCGCTACATTTTCGTCTTTGTTTCCATTGTCGTCACTTTTCTGGTTTTCGTTTGAAAAATTTTGACCATTCTCGGCCAGCATACTTTCGTCTGAGAAACTGTTTTTCTTTTTTTCCAAATTTTATCATTAGGGAACACAATACTTTCCTTGGAAACCGAATTTTTGCCTAAGTTTTGGCTCTCTTCGGAATCCATTACTAATTCTGTGTCATTATTATTTTCAGAAAGCTTATCAGGCGGATCTTTCCTATTCTTAGTCCCCAAAAGATTTCTTTTGGCTGTCTTCTTGGCTTCCATTTTTTCCTTTTAAAATAAGATGTTTTTTTTTCAGTCAAAATCGGTCTGCAAAACGGGACGCTGGCTGAACTCTCGATTGCCCACACCAGGTCCCGGCTTGCCTCTCCTGTCCACGGTCCTAACGTATACTTATAGGTGAATACCACCTATAGTGCCGCCACTCATCGGGGTGGCAGGTTATTCCATTACATTACAAATGAAGCTACAAGAACTCATATAGAAGGTAGTGAAGGAAAGCACGAAGAAAGGACTAAATATCAGTTACAAGAAGACAGAATGTATGGTTGTCAGCAAACGGAACAGCCCAACATGAAAATTACAAATTGGTGATGCCGAAATCAAGTAAGTGCAACAATTTAAATTTCAGAGAAGCGCTTTAACAGAGGACGGAAAGTGCGACACCGAAATCCGGAGGCACATTGGGATAGCGAAAGATGCCTTCCAAAAGCTAAACAAAGTATTAAGAAACAGGGAAATTTAAATATCAGGGAAGTATTTTAACAAAGGACGGAAAGTGCGACACCGAAATCCGAAGGCGCATTGTGATAGCGAAAGAAGACTTCCAAAAGCTAAGCAAAGTATTAAGAAACAGGGAAATTTAAATATCTGGGAAGTGTTTTAACAAAGGACGGAAAGTGTGACACTGAAATCCGAAGGCGCATTGGGATAGCGAAAGATGCCTTCCAAAAGCTAAGCAAAGAATTAAGAAACAAGAAAATCTCGTTAGAAATTAAGAAAAAAGTATTTAACTGTTATGTAATATTGGCCCTCCTTTATAGTAGTGAATGTGGTTCTACAGAAGGATGGTGAGAATAACATAGACTGAACATGTGAGCAAAAACGAAATTTAAGGAAATGAAAACAAAAAGCACTGATACTTAACATCAGAAAGAGACAGTTGAAATTTCTGTGGCTCATAGTGTGGAAAAAGGGCTTGGAAAATTTGATACTCACATGACATATTAAAGGCAACAGGGACAGAGGTAAACAAAGCATAATCTACGTAACGACCTTAGGTAAATGGACGACAAAACAGGGTTTAGGAGAGATTAAATGTACTAAAAACTACAAATTGTGGAGAGCCATGATCGCCCATTTCCTGAAAGGGCGTGGCTCAAAAAAGAAGAACAGTTAAAATATCACAAAGTATTAAGTCTTATGAATAAGGCGGATGAAGCATTTTTGTGATGGAGTTTTTAGCCAGAAACTGGCGAACAACTTGGCACATCATTTGCTTCCATCTATCTTCAGTTCTTCAGCCATATGTTGGACACTTGAGCGCAGTAAGGTAGCAACGCTGTCCACATGTAAATCTGTGTTTTTCGCTGTTCACTTCTAGGGTAATCGTGCATATTTTCCCGCCCTTCTTTGAACCGCCAGTGCCGCTCAGAAAGACACGATTCCTTCGTAGCTAGTTCTCCATAAACTATTTTTAATAGGGCTAACGTTTCTCCTGCCTGCAGTTTCGCCAGCCTTCACACAAATCCGCTACTCCAAATTCACTTCACTCATTTTTCGCCAACATTATGACATGAACACATACAACTTACTGCTCAGCAACGAACGTCTTCTCTGTTACGCGTGGCAATAAGGGGAAATGTCGGAACATGTCCGGACGGGACTGACTACAAATATTTGCCTAACCCCAGAGACACGCAGCGGTCATTCTGTAATGAAATCCTCACGTCTCGTATTTGTATATATATATGTATATATTGTGATTTATTCATTATCTCGATGAAGGTTGATTAATCCATAAGTTTTATTTTCAATTGCACACACACACACACAACATATATATATATATATATCATAAAAAAAAGATAATAATCATACTTATTATAAAACCCAGGTTGTGTGTGTGTGTGTCTGTTCGTTTATATATTGGATCGGATTTCCTACATTTTTCCACCGATTTCAACAAAACTTCACAGGACTACGTAAAATTACCTTGCGGTGGTTCTGACAGCGCCCAAAATTGGAAAAACACAATTGTTTTTGCAAGAAATCAATTTGAAAACACGATTAAGGGGCATCGCTATCGCGAGAATGAAAGGGGGACAACTCATATCGAGTTATACTTATTATAAAACGCAGGTTGATTGTTTGCGCGCGTGTGTGTGTGTGTGTGTTCGTTTATATATGGGATCGGATTTCCTACATTTTCCAACCGATTTCAACAAAACTTCACTTTTTTTTTGGCAGATAGTGTTTCTTATTGTCTTGCACACTTTTTTCTTTATTTTTACATTCAGAATGCTTTAAAAATTCCATTTACAAGACAATTGTTTATGATAAAATTCTATTCAATCGGTAGACTCATAACGATTGTAAACAATGTTTTTGTTTGAGTTTGGGTTTGACCAATTCGTAAAAAATAAAAATAAAAAAAAAATAATTAAGACATGCGTGTCCGTCAACCTTAAACAATAATCTTTCAGTCTTTATGATGGTCGATACTTGATCTATCTCTTACTGTTACATCCCCGGGCAACGCCGGGCTCTACTGCTAGTAATAAATAAAAGTTGCCTCTCCTGGATGAGAAAAAAATACATCGATATACAACGATTAAAACGCTGTAAAACGAACAGTAAAAATGTCTTGAATTTACATAGATATATACATCAGTCAGTTATGTGCCATGCTTGATAGACGCTTAGGCGTGTATCAAACATGGCACATAATAATACATTTCGATACATGACTGACGAGGCAGATTTTTTTCCCGCATATGTTGATATTTCTTTCTGCGTTAGACCACTGCCATCCAAGGCTATAGAACCCTGTCTGTCCAGCTATTTACCCATAGCTGGGAGGAGAAGAATAGGATTCATACCTTTCTCAATGTTATTAGCACATCAGTCAGTCTGTTATGTGCCATGCGTGGTACACGCTTAGGCGATCATCTATCTTTCGATGCATGACTGACGAGGCAGATTTTTCCCGCAGTAGGTATCCATTTCTTTCTGTGGTAGACCAGTTGCCATCCAAGGCTATAGAACCCTGTCTGTCCAGCTATTTACCCATAGCTGGGAGGAGAAGAATAGGATTCATACCTTTCTCAATGTTATTAGCACATCAGTCAGTCTGTTATGTGCCATGCGTGAAATACACGCTTAGGGCGATCATCTATCTTTCGATGCATGACTGACGAGGCAGATTTTTCCCGCAGTAGGTATCCATTTCTTTCTGTGGTAGACCAGTTGCCATCCAAGGCTATGGAACCTGGTCTGTCGTTCTATTTAGACAAGGAGAGTATTCGTAGGGTACTAGCACGTAAGTGAATGTAATAGATTCGTATGGAATTCGAACTCGGCTCTCCGATTCCTCAATTCGAGCTGCTATCCATTACCCCACCGTACCTCCTCCTATACGCATACGCAGACAATTTAACCCCACTGAAGATGGTCTCAGATGAGACTGAAAGGACTTGGGGAAACAAAAAATTATTTGAAAGAAAATTTTGGTATTTTTCTTAATCAGTTTTTTTTTTTTTTTTGGCAAACCAAAAAATTGATTCGTGAACTCGAAATGATTAAAAACAAAGGTGAAAGTGAAAATAAAACTTCATATTTACTTTTGAATGAAACAACAATCACAGAGATAATACATAAATCAGAAGAGAAAACTGACAGTCAGTTTCTGATAGCTCCTGACGAGTGGACCGAATAATTAGACAAATGTTCTATGAAATTCTGAAGTAGGAGGTGCGGAATATAACGTCAATCACCTGTGACAAATGTCAATCTCCACTACTATAAGCTAAGCTCAAATATATTGATTCGTCTTCACACACACACACACACACACACACACACACACACACACACATACACACACATACACGTATATATATATATATATATATATATATATATATATATATGAAATAAAAACTTAAGGTGTGCTATCTTTATGGGATAAAGTGCTCAATATTAGAGATAGAGGCGTGTGTAAATATAAAAAGTGAACATTGAAGTCAACACTTAGAGGCGACAGTCTGTTTCATGCTAGACGCAATCGTCAGGAGACTCGTGGCCTGACGATTGCGTCTAACATGTTGACTGTCGCCTCATGTTGACTTCTGTGTTATTTTATATATAGATAGATAGATAGATAGATAGATAGATAGATATTTGCTTCACTGTTGTCATGCTAGACAATTCTTATCGACAGAATTTATATTAAACATTTTTAAGTCTGTCATTCGACTTTGCTTTGAATATTGGTATCACATATGGTCTGGTGCTCCTGCTATATATTTAGAAATTCTTGATAAAATCCAAAGAAGAATTTGCAATGTTATTGCTCCTGACCTGGCATCTCGGCTTAAGTCCCTTTCTCACCGCCGTAACATAGCTTCACTGTGTCTTTTCTATAAATAATTTATTGGAAATTGTCCATACGCTTATTTTATATCTCGTCTGTTCGTATCTATCTATCTATCTATCTATCTATCTATCTATATATATATATATATATATATATATATATATATATATATATATGTATTCCAGTCTGTTCGTATCTATCTATTCCAGTTTGTTCGTATCTATCTATCTATCTATCTATCTATCTATCTATCTATCTATCTCAGCCTCCAGCAGTACATACGCTAATTTTATGCCTCATGTATGATGTGACCCTCTTAAAATTAACTTCTAAATTAGGTCTTCAAAAGTCGCATGATACGCGTGTATATCCGGTAGATGCGTTCGATTCACTGTTTGTCTCTGTCAAATGTTTGTCCATTTATCTCTATATTGTGTATTTTGATACATAAATATAAGTTATGTTTATATCGCTCAGATGAAAATACATATATGACCAATAACCCCGCCAACACACACACACACACACACGTATATATATATATATATATATATATATATATATATATATATATGTTATACTGGAACACACCTATTCTATAGTTAATAGATAGACTCTCCCACCTATAAATAGTAGTAGTAGCAGTCGCCAGTGGGCTCAGAGTGAGTGGGTGAGTCAGTCGATGTCAGACATTAAAGTTTCAGCCACCACAACTAGATTGCCGCGTCCTTAATTATTATATCAAGTTCCTAACGTTTTGTACGTCGAACCTTTTAGGACCGACTTAGTGAAATAC